TTTCTTTGATGAATAAAAAGTAAAAAAAAAAAAAACAGCATTTACTTAAAATCTTTTGTAAGAATATACACTACCGTTCAAAAGTTTGGGGTCAGTAAATGTTTTTTCTTTTTTTTTTAAAGAAATTAATACTTTTATTCAGCAAGGATGTGTAAAATTGATAAAAAAGTTAAGTAAAGACTTCTATTGTTACAAAAGGTTTTTATTTTGAATAAATGCTCTTCTTTGTAACTTTTTATTCATCAAAGAATCCTGAAAAAAGTATCACAGCTTCCAAAGAAAAACAATGTAGCAGTAAAACTAATAAATCAGCATATTATACTGATTTCTGAAGATCATGTGACACTGAAGACAGAGTAATGATGCTGAAAATTCAGCTTTGCATCACAGGAATAAATGACATTTTAAAATGTATTAAAATAGAAAACCAGTATTTTAAATGATAAGAATATTTTACAATGTTACTGTTTTTTCTGTATTTCTGATCAAATAAATGCAGCCTTGATGAACAGAAGAGGCTTCTTTAAAACACCTTAAAAATCTTACCGATACCAAACTTTTGAACAGCAGTGTATATTTGTTTGTTTGTTTTTTATTCTTATTATTTTTTCACATTAGGCCTATGACCAGCACTTGAACATGATCCTCGGAGATATTGAAGAGACAGTGACGACTGTGGAAATCGATGAGGAGACGTATGAGGAGATTTATAAGGTAACTGCAATTTACATTTTAACGTAAGCCATAAATCCTAATTGGTTTTGCATCAGTCTTTCAGTCATTCTTGAGAAGTGGGACAAAACAGGGTGCAAAATTGAAAAAATAAAACCTTGTACTCAGAGAAATGAAACTACATTTATGTATCTTATATGTACTAAGCTACTGAGCTATGCTTTGATACAACCTCCTAACTTTTCTCTTTTTTAACAAAATGTGCTTTTTTACCTTGGACTGTGTAATATAATTGCAGCTTACTTGCTGGACCTGTTTTGTCCCACGTCTCAAGAATGACTGTGTTGTAAATATCACCCATATTCTGTTTCAGTCTGTTTAGAGGATTTGAATTATAATTAGTCTAATATTGGTGATAAATAGCAAGTACAACAAATATAATCTTTAGTGGTCGACCGATATATTGGCCGATATCTGCCATTTTTCAAATATCGGCATCGGCCGATAAGTTTTTCTGTTTGGCCGATGTGTTCGAGATTTTTATTTTGACGGCGCGGCATTTAGCAAATACGCATATATATCATTTAAACAAATCTTTGAATGACTAATGAACATTTAATTTCACAAACCTTGCAGACTTAGTCGAATCTAGTTGAGATCTTGTGAAGTCTGCATGTGACCTGCATGATCGCGTGTCACATGTTTCTGTGACAGTCGGTCCTATGGTCCGTGTGAATTGAATACGGACAGGAGGAGAGTTCAGCTTCACCGGAGACGCGCGATCGACAAACTTTAAACTCGTTACTGATTTCAAATTATGCTGTGCTTTATGCATTTGCCCACTGCCATATTCATGTCATTTTCACTGTGTGCTGTATGTAAAATGAGTGTTACCTTGGCTTTATTTGAAAAAATATGATTCCCAATGCACACAAACTTCCCAGAATACGGAGTGCCCTGTTGGTTACAGTGTTTACTTCCTTTTTAATTATATTTGTATTAAATATTTATTTATTTGTGAAAAATACTTTGTCTTCTAGAGTATAAGTATGTTTATTTTACACGTTTATTTTTTTAATCCATTTTCAAATTATTTCAAATTTCTTAAATATGAATTAAAATAAATAAAATTATATCGGCCACCCTGCTTTCCAAGATATCGGTATCGGCTGTCAAAAAAACCCATATCGGTCGACCACTAATAATCTTTTTTTCCAAATTAACGACACTTCTTTATTTATTTACTTATTTACATATTTTATTTAAGCCATCAAGTATTGTGTTGAGATGCGTCGCACGTTTGTTTTGCAGTCGACGAAGCGGAACATCCCCATGCTGTTTGTTCGAGGAGATGGAGTTGTGTTGGTGGCTCCGCCGCTGAGGGTCGGATAACTAACTTCCTCGAGTTGTACACAACTTACCTTCACAGTTATGCTTTGGACTCTAGATTCTTCAAGTGGATTTTGAAGTGGATGACGTTTTTCGTTTTTGGAACCACAGAGCTGTAAATCTGTTTATTTTGCAAAGCTGACCTTTCGCTTGACGTTTTGGAAACCCGTAATGGCAGGTCATTTGCGCAGTATGTTTTGTAACTGTCATTAAAATGATTGAAGTTCCGATTTTTTTCAAATGGCTTTCACTAATGTAATAAAATCTTTGTTATGGTTTGTTATGCAGAATTTTTTTCTACAGAACATCTAATATTATACACAATAAGTGCATCATTAACTCAACATTGAGACAGAACACTTTTTTTTTTTGTATGATCATTGTTATAATGGGATAATAATCAGGGGAGTAAACACATTTGTTTAGAAGGCATGTAATTTTTTAAATACTATATAAAGTTTGGAAATAAGATTTTTAAATGTTTTTAAGTCTCTCTTCTCACCAAGTCTGCATTTATTTGATAAAAAATACAGCAAGAACAGTAATATTGTTAAATACTATTACAGACATTACAGTTTTATTTAAAAAAAAAAAAAAGTAATTTATTACATTTTCAGCATCATTACGGATCAGCATCATCTCACGATCCTTCAGAAATACTAATATGCTGATTTGCTTCTTAATTATTTTCAGTTATTATTATAGTGCTCAATTATGTAAAATGGTTCTTATGAATTTTTTTTTTTCATGATTCTTTGATGAAAAGAAAGTTAAATGAAAAGTAATTATCTGAAATAGAAATCTTCAGTGACATTATAAATCGTTTCACTCCCTTTTGATCAGTTTAATGCATCCTTGCTGAATAAATGTGTTAATAAATGCATTAAAAACTTTTGATATCATGATATCCACAAAAAAAATATTAAGCAGCACAAATGTTTTCAACACTGATAATGTTAGATATTAGATGGCAATTAAAGCAGGGAATGGACAAGGTAATTTAACTTTCACATTGCAATTTCATATAATGGGTCGTTTTTAAGGCTTTTCCCTACACAAAAAACAAACAAAAAAAACTTGGGTACATTTTACTCTTCAGTATAATCGTATGCTACACACATATCCTTAAATGTAAAATTTACCCCAAATATGCCTTGATGAATGAAAGCGGACTAATGTAAATCATATAGTAGCCACGGAAAGAATCTGCTTTGAACAGTTCTTTCCGTGGCTATATGTGCAATTCTTCAAAGTAAAACACTAATAATAATAAATCATATTTGAACCTCAGTTACCAATAAACTGATTCCTGAAGAATCATGCAGCAGTTGTCTGTGTGAAGGTTTGTCTCGTTCTTCCACAGCAGACTCAGTAAGCCATCAATGCAGTGTTTGTATTTGAAATACTCTGTCCAGTAGAGGGCAGTGTATGCAGGGATTGTGGCCGATCATGTTCTCACTGTGAATGTAACATTTTGATTTATCTATTTCTGTTTACTGTCACGTTGTATAAATTCAGCTCAGTTACCCGTAGTTTGAATGATCCTTCTGATATTTTATAACACTTTTTTAGTGCCTCTCTTTATTTTATATCTGTGTGGCGCTTTTATCATTACCCACAATTCTTAGCAGAGAGCCATGGAAGCAAATTCACATTTTTACCTCTATGGATGTCTGTTAGATGTTATAGAAATTAGAAGAAGAAGAAGAGAAAAAAACAGAAAACATACTTCACTCCAGGCTATAGTTACTCTTGTCAGATCAATATTTATTTTTATTTTATTTTATTTTAATGCCAGTTTAAAGATGCATCATAACATCACCCGAAAATGAAAAAAATAAAAATCAGTCACTATTTTCCCCACCTTCATGTCATATTAAACACTTTTTTTTTTTCTTGGAAAATACCAGAAAATTATCTTTTCGTCTCATTTAAATTTTTTTTTTCTTTTATTATAGACATGGTCCATATGAGTTGCATAACCTTAAAATAACCCTTTTATTATTTTATTTTATTTAAAAAAATCACGATAAATGCATCATCCAAAAAAAATAAAAGAAAAAAAGTTCATTTGCGCAATATGTTTTGTGACTGTCATTAAAATGACTGAAGTTCAAACGTTTTCAAATGGCTTTCACTAATGTAATAAAATCTTTATGGTTTGTCATGCAGAAATCTTTTCTACAGAACATCTAATATTATACACAATAAGTGCTTCACTAGCTCAACATTGGGACATTAGAACACATGTAAATAATAAATAAATAAATAATATTTTCTTGGAAAATACCAGAAAATTATCTTTTCGTCTCATTTAAAAAAAAATTTTTCTTTTATTATAGACATGGTCCATATGAGTTGCATAACCTTAAAATAACCCTTTTATTATTTTATTTTATTTAAAAAAATCACGATAAATGCATCATCCAAAAAAAATAAAAGAAAAAAAGTTCATTTGCGCAATATGTTTTGTGACTGTCATTAAAATGACTGAAGTTCAAACGTTTTCAAATGGCTTTCACTAATGTAATAAAATCTTTATGGTTTGTCATGCAGAAATCTTTTCTACAGAACATCTAATATTATACACAATAAGTGCTTCACTAGCTCAACATTGGGACATTAGAACACATGTAAATAATAAATAAATAAATAATAGTAATCTTTCACCGTCATAAGCAGGGGCCAAGAGGGCCTTTGTTAATAGGCTTCAAAACATGTACTATATCATTTTATTTATTTATTTGTATTTGTATTTTACCCACCTGACAGCAGCATTTTGTCAGCTTTGATCTATTGAGCAAATACTCACTTTTTCCAGTTTTCTGCATCTGCTAGAAAAAAAAAGCCAATTGAATTGAAATTGTGTAATTAGTTATGTAATGGGTGTATTGGTATGGATATCAGAGTGTGGTTTGTATGTGTCCTGATAAATGTGTGTGTGAGTGAATGATATATATTTTTTTCTTGGTAGTTATGGACTGAGTTGTTAAAAAAGACTTTTGTCGGGGGAAAATGTTAATATATATAATATGCTTACGACCGTTTTTTGACATGGATATTTTTGTCCTCTGAGTAACTTGTCTTAAATTGACGCACAAGGTTTCCTTCATGAAGGTTTCTTATTAATTGTGCTATACTCAGGTGTGAGCAGTAGATGGAGCCCGACGGTGTTTTGTTCCTGTGGGTGGCGCTGTTGTTCCGTGCGGCAGCCAGCAGCGGCTCCATCAAGCGGAAGTGCTTCATCAAGTTCACGTTTCAGTTACCATTTCAATGATGTGTTAAACGGTCTTTTGGGTCAAAACTAAGAGTGACACTCCAAAAATAGAGCAGCTATTTGGGGAAGAACACCAAAATAAGGCTTTCCCGTGATATGTATGGGTCTTTCCCATTAGCGAGAAAGTGACGCAGAGTTCTCAATGAAGATGGCCTAACTTTTCCCACAGCCTAAAATAGCCTCCTGGAGGTGGTTGATAACCAAATATAGCTAGTTTTGGGACCGGACCAGAGCCAACACAGTTCTGAACAGCTGTCCAATGTAACAAAATCTGGCTGTAACTCAAAACAGTGTTATTTTAACATCAGGCTGGTGGTCATGTGCAAAAACTAGTGCTAGATGATGAAAAGGAGAAATATTTGAACAATAAAATGTTATATAATACCCATACAATGTTATTTGTAAAACGACGAGTTTATTTGAGATTTTCTTTGGAGGAATTGAGGAACGCCGAGTTGTTCCACCAAATACTGAATAAAATATTTGGATAATATAACCATGGCCTCTAGATAAATATTTTTCTAACTTCTACCAAATGCTTCTTAAATGTATTGTGCTGGAATATGCACTGGAAACACAGGGTAATTTTTCAGGATACATTTTTAAAATGGAATTTGTGGTGTATTTTTGCACTTAGACAATTCACTCTCTTTGGCCACCTTCATTTGATGTTGTAACTAACCACAGATTTTTGGAAGACAGCGTTTGCGTGCCTCCTTATTAGTGTGTTATTTCATATTGCAAACATGTTCCTGGGCTTTGCACTGATTACATGACAAAAACTGGAGCAGTTCCCTGCTCATTCAGTTAGCTGAATCTGAAACAATTCAACAAGAGTGGCCTACAGGTGAATGCTTAACAACGACAAAATTAATTAAATATATAAATGACACAGCCTGTGTGCATAATATTGTCCATATACTGTCTATGTAAAAGTTATGGCTGCAGAAGTTCAGTTGACACCATTAGTGGCATAATGTAGATTACCACAAACAATAAGTTCTCATACCTTGTTTAAAAAAAAAAATCTTAAAAGGTAGTGCACACCAAGGATGATAATGATAACTAAATCTAGAAAGTATTAGTTTATTCAAACATGAAAATTAGCTGCAAATGTACTCACCCTCAGGCCATCCAAAGATGGCTTAGATGAGCTTGTTTCTTCGTCTGAACAGATTTGGAGAAATGTAGCATTACATCACTTGCTCAGCAGTGGATGCTCTGCAGTGAATGGGTGCCGTCAGAATGAGAGTCTAAACAGCTGATAAAAACATCCCAATAATCCACAAGTAGGTAATCTACACGACTCCAGTCCATCAGTTAACAACTTGTACATTGAAAGGCTGTGTTTATAAGAAACCAGTGGTGTATAAAGTACCTGAAAGCCATACTCAAGTAAAAGTACAAATATCTTACCAGAAAATGACTTTGGTAGAAGTTGAAGTCACCGTTTAGAATATTACTTGAGTAAAAGTCTTAAAGTATGTGATATTTATTGTACTTAAGTACGAAAAGTATTTTTTTAAATCTTAAACGTACTTAAGTATTGAAAGTAAAAGTACAAGTAAATGCAAAATGGAAAAGAAGCAAATATATATATATATATATACTGTATACACGTATGTATATATATATATATATATATATATATATATAGACATGGATGCATATTAACTGCAGTTACAGATGCATAATTAGACATAATGTTTTGTTTTTAACATAAAACGTTGAATACTGATATTTGAAATGATTTAAAACATGAAAAAATAGTCGAAATGTGAAATTAAAACCGCCAGTAGGTGGCAGCAAGTGACTGTTAATGAGTGAGTCATTGAGCTTCAACCGATTCATTCAAACGACTGATTCATTCAGAAACAAGCATTTGACTGTGTTAATGAGTGAATCACTGAATCATTTATTCAACCGATTCGTTCAAAAAGCTGATTCATTCAATTAGTAAACACTGTCCATTGCTCAGAGACGCAAAACAGTGCTGTGATC